CATGTGTGAAGAATGTAAAGGTGTCATTTGGACTGGAAGCTCCTTCCTTGCTGATGGGCACGGGGGTTACTCTTTCTCAGTGAAGCTCTTCACATTATTTTTTCATGATTTCATAGGAATTCTCTGCCCTTGKCAATCTTCCTTGTCCCTCTGACGGAGATTTCGTCTCCATGTAGTGTTAAACCCACTATTAAAATGGTGCTGTTGTTTCAAGCTATGAAAAACACACTGTCTAAACTGAAAACACTACAGAAGCTTTTGTGAGGGCATTAACATCCCTTTTTTTTTTTCTTCCCACCTGCTGTCTCAGGCTTTTATCCTCCTTCTGTGTTCACAATACTCCAAAAATCAGAGTGTATCCTTTGTCTTCCTTTTCCACTGGCCAGATGTGTTCAGGCTTCCTCCCCATTTCTTGCTTTAGCACACAGAATATTGTTATCTCTGTGGGCTTTGTCTTCTCTTCGTGCTTCTCTTCTCAAAATCCTGGAGGTACACGAGCTACTTTGGAAGGAAGCAACTTGTAGTACAGGACATCTACAGATCCTGAGCAAATATAAAGTTCTCAAAAATCCACATAGAGTATGCTTAGGAGCAGTAAAAGGGGCTTTAACATGGAAAGTTCCCGTATTTATATCTTTTTACCTAATGCAGGAGGACTTATTGTAGAATCAGAAGCAAAGTAGCTGCAAGTAAGTAAAGTAAGTATTAATTTAGATTTCTAGCATTTGCAATCTCACAAGTCCAAACCAAGATTATTCCCTGCACAAGTATAGCCTTTGCTTTGTGTGTAACAGGCTTAGGTAAAAGGGTGTCTGTGTAAAGATAATTTCTCTCTCTCTCTCTTTTTTCTTTTTAAGACAAAATATTTCATTGTTACCAAACACATTGAGGGGGAGAAAAAAAAAAAAAAAAAAGGAATCAAGACACTGAACTAAATATATGTTCCAAAATCGCTGAATCCAGCATTTTGGACATATTGCTGTCAGCTTGAATTTTTGAAAACTCTTAAACAATCCRACTGGGTGAGCTGAGCTGGTAACCAGCAGGTCAGAAATCGCACTGCGGTGGTGGTGACTTCTCTCTCCCATACAAAGATCTCAGCAACACTGATAAAATGATACGAACAGCTTAATACCCTGGTGTGGGATACAAGTGTTACCAGTTATACAGGCACTAAGGACATTCGTCTTGATTTTGAAACATGAGGGAGGGCTGACCACGAAAATGTTCATATATAGGACATGAAAATTAAGGGATAAAAGCCAATTTTCAAAAAAAGTATTTGTGGCCTTACTGTGTGCTGACAATGTTGAACTTACTATTCTGTTGGTAGCTGGGTGATCGTTTTGTTTACACCAGTTAGTGTACACTACGTATCAGTTTCAAGTTTTAATATATTCCTATTTTTTCTCTCATCTTACATATTTTAATGCAGTAGATTTTAAGTACTGCTTTGGGATTGTCACTGGAAAGTTGTCAAGTAATGCAGTATTAGCTCCATCCTATTGGGAGAGTATTCGCACTCATACATAGTCAAACTTTTCCATTTTTTCCATTCCAAAATTTATCCCGGTAGTAATAATGTTACCTTCCTGTGTTACATTAACATTATCTGGTGTTTAATGTTGCAAATAATTATAGGCTATTATTAATGTGCAAATAATCACATTTCAAGTCCTGGATAATATGATAATAATGGTAGTAATATCTGAATTTTAACAGAACTTTAAGCASTCTAAGCAAGTAAATAATGGCTCCATAAAGAAGAAACTGTCACAGCAGTGTCTTTGTTCTCCTTTTTGATGGTTTTATCATTTCACAGAATCACAGAATGGTTGAGGTTGGAAGGGACCTCTAGAGATCATCTAGTCCAACCCCCCTGCTCCAGCAGCGACACCCAGAACACAGGGCACATGGTGGCATGCAGGTGGGTTTGGAAGATCTCCAGAGAAGGAGATTCCACAACCTCTCTGGGCAGCCTGTCCCATGCTCTGTCACTCTCACAGGAAAGAAGTTCTTCCTTACATAGARATGGAACTTCTTGTGTTTCAACTTACACCCACTACCTGTCCTGTCACTGGCCACCACTGAGAAGAGCTTGGCCCCTTCCTCCCTGCATTCTCCCCTCAGGTCCTTATACACATTGATCAGATCTCCTCTCAGTCTTCTCTTCTCCAGGCTAAACAGGCCCAGCTTGCTTAGCCTTTCCTCATAAGACAGATGCTTCAGCCCCTTAATCATCTTTGTCACTCTCCACTGGACCCTCTCTAGCAGCTCCACATCCCTCTAATCTTGGGGAGCCCAGAACTGCCCCCAATACTCCAGATGCAGCCTCACCAGAGCTAAGGAGAGGGGCAGGATCCCCTCCCTCTATCTGCTGGCCACACTCCTTCTGAGGCATCCAGGATCCCATTGGCCTTCTTGGCCACAAGGGCCCTGCTGGCTCATGGCTAACTTCTTGCCAACCAGGACTCCCAGGTTCCTCTCTGTGGAGCTGCTTTCCAGCAGGTCAGGCCTTAATCTGTCCTGGTTATTCCTCCCCCGATGCAGGACCCTGCACTTGTCCTTGTTGAACCTCAGGAGGTTCCTCTCTGTCCAACTCTCGAAATTGTCTAGGTCCCTCTGAATGGCAGCACAGCCCTCTGGAGTGTTGGTCACTTCACCCGGTTTGGTACCATCTGCAAACTTGCTCAGGGTGCACTCTGCCCACTCTGTCCCAATAACTCGTCCAAGTCATGGTTGAATGAGTTAAACAGCACTGGACCCAGTACTGATCCCTGGGGGACACCACTGGCCACAGGCCTCCAACTGGACTTGGCCCCATTTATCACCACCCTTTGAGGTCTGTCATACACACAGTTCCCTATCTACCTCATTGTCCACTTGTCCAGTCCACACTTTCAGAGCTTCCCCATGAGGATGTTATGGGAGACTCTGTCAAAAGCGTTGCTGAAGCCAAGATAGACAACATCCATGGCTTTCCCATTGTCCATCCAGCCAGTCAGTCCCCTGACAGGTAACTGAACCCARGCTGCAGCGAATCCTAACCGCTAGACCTAATTTAATATATCTCACATATATTATGTGAGATATGTTACATCCATCCTAGAATAAGGGGCTGCAAAAAGTTCAGATGGAAGTAATAACAGTCATATATCTCATACATCTGATAACATAGTGGACGTTTGTATTTTGGATGAAGAAACAAGTATCAACTAGGATTTTTTTACAGTTTGGAGGAAAACTCCTGTGGATGCTGAGCGCAGAATTTACACAAACTCAGACATTTCTGTGATTTATGRCTCATGGTATCTTGGGCTGCTGCCAGAAGTGTTAGCTGCTCAGAGACTGTTCAATTCCCCTGACATTATATACTCCCTGTAACTCAAGTTTTTTTAAAAAAGTAATTTACTCGGTGTGATATTGGAAGTCCTAATGAGTGGATCTCTATTTCCTTCCGGGATTTTTTGCTTGAAAATCCCGGCAAACCTTGAAATGAATGTTGTGTAATCTCTGACACTTGACAGTGGAGCCAATTTTAGGTATGATCTTTGATTTCAGGATTTTTTGTACTTCRGGAGAGACAAGAACAATTTGCCTTCCCGTGACACGCATCGCTGTGAATCTTATTTGTTGCACCTGTAAGCACCTAATCACTCAGTGCCTAATCCTTCCTACACATGCTGTTGTGTGCAATGTAAACCGTCACTGGGGCCATTGATGAGACTAAGTGCTGTTTGTCAACTGCAGCATCTGCGGAATCAGGTCCTGACACTTGGTGCCAGGCTGCAGCCAGGCTGGTGGGGCTGCTGAGTGGGGCTGAAGGTGCTCCTGGAGGTGAAGGGGGGTGAACAGCGTGTGGTTCGGGCTGCAGCATCCCAAAGAAGGTGGGGCAAATCAGAGGAAACCATCTGACTCATCAAAAAGTCTTAATAATTTGCCCCCTGTACCTGGGTTCCTGTAGACTATCTGTCTACTTAATCTTTTCGTAGCTGGAAGTTTCGAAACCATGGCTCTATCTAAATATATCTGTTTCCTGAGACTTTGTCCCATCTACCCAGGGCAGTTGAGGATTTATCTGACCAGAAAGACATCCTTCTTACTGCATTTCATAGTCTGGTCTTTGTTATGAGGTTACTTGTGTCCCCAAAAGGCATAATCTTTGCTTTCCTGTTGTGGGTGGCAGTTAATAGTTTGTCGAAGGAGGCATAGGAAAGAAGTGGGAGGTTGTTTTTCAGAAGAAAACAATATGAAACAATCAAAAATTTAAACAAAATTTTTGTCACAGCTTAAGGAAGTTTTGGCCTATGAATATTTCTTTTTGCTTTATTTGAGGCTATTTGATGAGTTCATGTATTCTTCAATTGCTTGGAGAAGCTRGTATTTTGTCAAGGACCTAGTCATTAGCAACCTGTGAGTCCTGTCAGGACTGCCCTCATTTGTGTAGTAGCCCATAACAAAGATATGTGGTATCCCATAGGTTCAAAGGGAACTGAGTACTTTTCAAGTTTATATAAGTTTCCAAGCCCACCCAGATATCTTCTCCAGTGAGCTTTTTCTCCTGCAGCTTCTAGACACTCGTTAGCTTCACAACAACTCTGATGGACGTGAAGTAGGTTTCCTGGAGCATTTCAGTGAGATCAAGTGTGGCAAAAGATTTAGGGTTATCTGCGAGGTAGCTACAGTTGCTTGATTTTCTGCCCAGCCTTGGATATAGATTGGAGCAACATGAGAGCTGTTCTGACCTATGGCACCTGGCAGTGGTACCCAAGAACTTGTTTACGTTGCATTTTTTTTTCATTAAAATGCAATTACACCCCTGAGTAGGTGGTGTAAAAACTTTGCATGTGTGTAAGAGATGACTTGTGCTAGCAGAACCCATTCAGGCGAAGAACTTTGTTTAAGTCACATCGAATACCAATGTGATTAAATCATCAATAAGGACTCTMTCTGCTGACACACCGCTAGAGCAGGCCCCGCATCAGCCGTGGGTTGCCAGAATGGGTTATGTTTCAGCTGTGCACGGAGAGCAAGAGGAACCGAATGACCTAGTCAAGGGGCACGTCCCGCGCCCACAGTTTTGCAACCTGCGCAACCTGCTGATTACTCCTCGTACAGGCTACGGCATGCAAAGTATTTTGCAAAGAGAGGAGGAGGAAGAGTCGTGCAAGGAGGTCACTACAGATTTGTACTGCTCTTCTCCRTCAAATGAGCACACGCTACTTTCTCTGTAGGAAAAGGAGCCTTTTCTGCCTTACCAGTGGCTCAATTCTGCCAGGCGTTGAGCACCACTATCAGGGATGGAGGGCTCTCACCCTCCCTGCCATCAGTGGCCATGGAGAGTTCTCAGCATCCATTGGGAATGATCAGTATCTATCAGAAATGCTGAGCACCTTCCGGCATTGGAGCTGGGATAAATAACACAAAAAACAGATTAATGCTTTGCCTTTGGCCCAAGCTGTGCTTCTAAAGGACATAAGGAGGTCCTTTATGCCAGACTCTGAGCCTGCTCCTGTTTAGACGGAAGTGAGTAGCATTTTATTTTTGTACATTGATGCAGAGGGGAACAGGACTGGGCCTGCTGTGAGAACGATTGATTTTCTGCAGCTTCTGCGTGGTGAATGGCAAGCTAGACAGGTTGCATGCTCCACAGCATCACTGACAGATCCGGTTAAAAACCCAGCATCATCATCTTTTCTCACTTTCCTCCATCCACCTTCATCAAACAGCCTCTCTTCATTAAAGCAGTGCCCCTGCTTTAAATGCGTGCTTGCTTTAGATGTGTTATGACACTGCTGTGAAGTACAGAATTCCCTAAAGCCTAAGAGAGAAGAAGATAAATGAGACATCCTAAGCAATCACCACAGGCACAGAGAACAGGAGAGAATGCTGCTTTCAGCAGAAATCCCTGCTTCCCTCACATTCAGTATCAGGCTGCTTCACAAAGGTGTTATATAAAGAAACGTCACAAGAAAAGACATGAAAAGGACATAYGGAATGAATGGAGCAAGAGCCAACCTTTCTCCTCTCCTCTCACAGAGGGTGACACTGAATTTCGCCACAGTGCCTGGCATTATGGCTTGCAACAGTTTGAAATGCTGCCTGAACAATCACTGAATCTTATCTCTGATAAAGCTCTTTTTTTTTTCTTTTATATATATATATATCTTTTATCGTGTTGCTGTTGTTTGACTTTATCTGAAGGTATTAAGCTTAGAAAGCATAAATAGATAAATAGATAGGCTAACAACAGTTGACTGGATACAAACAATGGGGAGCCAGCAGCATAGCCTACGATGAGCTCCAGACTAAGGATGGTTGCTAATATGACTGAAAATGGTACTTTTGTCATTAAAAACACAGATAACAGAACAATGATATATACTTGCATTTGTTCTCTGAATGGTTTACTTTCATATGGCTGGAGTATATTTGTTAATGTGGCTCAGTGAATGGTGAGAATGGTGCGAGAAGGCAAAGAAAAAGTAATACTTTCTATTCTCGTAGCTAGGATGAGGATGAAAAGGCAATGGAAGCGTCACCTGGATGGAGAAGCACAAGCTATATCCCAGCTTTATATGACAGGGTTGTTGACATTATCTCAACAAATAAAGAAGGAAAATCAAATAAAATAATCACATCTGAATCCAGTCATTCTTATACAGCTTGGTTGGTGTAGCTAATCTTGGTGCAAAACTCACAGACTCTGAAAGCCAAGATTGTTGTGGAACAAAAATTCCTATTGAATATGATATTCAGAAAATAAACAAACAAATAAAAAAAAAAATAGAATTTCTGAAAAGTAAAATGCTCTCATTTTTCAAACTTCTGGTCAGGAAACAATTTGTCTCACTAGTTTTCCCCATTAAGAAGCACAAATAAGTACTGTGGCAGAAGCCTAGAACTGAAAAATATCAAGGAATAAAAAACAATAGTAGGAAAACTTGGCTTGTTGCGATCTTCACATGGCACTGTATGTGCAACTTGGTCATGTGTAATAATAATTAGATGAACAATTTTCTTTGAAAGGCATTTAGGTTATGGAATAAAATGACATGCATCAAAGTAATGGCATTGCCTTTTGTATTGCATAATGTATTGCATAAGAGAAAATAGCTGTTTCACATTAATACTTCGTCACATGGGCAGTCATGAATGCCAGCAGTGAATGAAGTTTCACTGCAGAAAGCAAACAAAAAAGTTTCTGATTCAGTCAACTTCAAAATCACACTTCATTCAGAGTTATTTTTTAAACAATTACTGTTCCAAGCAAGATGGCTCTAAATAAAAGAGGTTTGAGAGAAAGAAGATATTTTTACAATGATGTCAACTGTCAGTCCTTTGGATTTAATCAAAAGATCATTTAAGTCTCTGCCTGTAATTTCTCAAGTACAGTCAGACTCCTGTATCTGTGGATTTCCTTAAGCAGCAACTGGAGAAAGAAATATGTTTAATTGGCTGAGGAGCTCTGCCACTAAGACTACTTTAATTACTTGTTTCTAAACACAGAATACACATAGAATTTACTTTAATGCTTTATTAAATCTTGCAGCAATAGTGAAAATGTTCATTTAGCCTACATGCAGTTTTACAGATTAAAAGACATCAAATTGAAGGGAAAGCAAACCCACACTCTTTATTGCATTCTTTTTTTAGAATGACAAAATTAAAACAGCACCCACATAAAATGTAATTACTGGTATGATTCCACTTTATTTTTCAGAGCCAAAGAAGACRAAATCCATCATTCCCACCTCCAGGTCAGATGCTCAGGTTTTTTTTCTGCAGAGATGACTGCTATTTCTATCTCTGCCCAGAAGAGGTGCTGCTGAGAAGAGCTGGGTGTTATGGACCTCATACTTAAAATGCTGTACTCAGATGACTAACCCTATTGAATTTCAAGGGCAGCGAGGAATGTGCTGGATCAGACTCTGGGGTGGTGCTTTTTTACATAATTACCACAATTTTTAGCAGGAGACTGCCTCGGGCCCCCTGTGGCTACACACTGCAGAGTTTCAGGTCTCTTTTGCACAGAATTTGCTTAATTAACTAGGGGAAAAGATATTTAAGAACAATGGGTGAAATTCACTTGAGTAAGAACAGCCAGTGCACGAGGTCTCGTTTAAACCACACGAGTCTGGACCGCAGGGAGGCGGTTCCCGAACTGCGTGCAGCCCACGTCCCATTTGCTGTAGCTCCTATGGTGGAGCTCAGCAGGGGTTTGGGAGCTGCCCATCGGAGATCACTGATGCTGCAAGCGGAATTCACCCAAGTGTGCAGGCTTACGCCAAAGGGATTGATTTACCGCTGCTTTATTTTAGCTATACACTCYTAAAGTTACAAGCGGCACCAAGCTGGAGTAAAGCTTGCTGTTTACTCTCAGGTTTGCTAGCTACACCATCCAAAAGGTTGGTAAAAACGCAACGGGCAGTGGAGGAACACAGGCCTGTGCTGTCACAGAGCTCCAGAAGGCATCAACAGCAGTGAAGGCAGCACTGACCAGGCCATGGGGCAGTGAGGCCTTGGTCGCCAGCCCTTGCTGAATTGCTCTGTTTTCCAGAGAGATGCACAAAAACTTGCAGCCACGTGTTAGACGAAGCTTGCTTGCTATTTAAGACCTCGATGATCTACTGCCGGTCTGCTGGCAGCACAGTGGGATGTGGCAGACTGAATTATGAGTTACTCCAGTTTTGATCCTGTCACTCTTTGCTGCTAATCAAATTACGGTGTTTAGTTAAGCACTGTTTTAAAGAGTGTCTGCTTACTGAAGTCAACACAGATCAAGTGCAGACATAGAATATACCAACACGAACCAACTTTTAGAGTGAAGGAAGCTCTGGGAGGCTTACAAAGTGCTGAGGTCTTTCTACAAGGACTGTACAATGAAGTACACGTCACCCCTTTCATGAAGGGGTCGTTTTGTTTCATCGTCGTTTTGTTTGTTGTTACAAAGAATAGTAGCCAGATGTACAGAAAATAGTGATGTTTCCGTTGCTGTGTGACACTGAACTCATTATATAAGGCATATGAGTATGTGAGGCTGGTATTGTGTGGCTGAGGGTGGTGGATCCCTCTTTGAGCCATTTTTGTTCTGCCAAGCAGAATGAGTGCAGGCCCCTATCAGTAATGCTGTAATGCAACGTACAACTTCCTCTAAACTGCTGGTTTAAAAAGTAACTCAAAAAAAAAAAAAAAAAAAAAGTATTTGAAATGCCAGTGCATCTGTTAAGAACAGATTATTTACATGGGGAAATTTCCAACAGCTTTTTTTCCTTGCATAAATTTTGAATTGCAGTTGCCTAAAAGGCATGATACCAAATCATTCATTCCTCCTTCACTGTCTTCTTCCCACTGACTTCAAAACACTGCGCTTGTAAGAAGGAAAGTGCTCGGTTTTGATGTATGTGAACACAAAAGAGGAACCCGATATAAATAAACGAGATGACTAGCATGTAGCAGCCGTTTGCTAACCTGAAAGTTCCCGATTTGTGTCAGCGTTCATGCGGGCCCGGGCTGCCCTCCTGACTGCTGAACATCCTTTACCCAACAGAAAGCTCAGTCATGACTCAGACGGGGACAGGATGACTYGGGGGGCAAAGTGTGCAAATGGGGTTTCTCTGAAATAACCCAAGCTGGGTGCACGCTTACGCGGCAGCCACTTGCGCTTTAGCTTGCTCGGCCAGGTGACATGGGTTCTGATGACCTGCACTGGGATAAACCCCCCATTTGTACAATCCTCGCCCTCAAGCGCTCGCCCATGGGGCGGGCTCCCTTTGCACGGCTTCCAAGCCCTGCTCACCCGGGCGGGCTGTGAAAGAAGGRGGGTTTTTAATGGTGAGGGGCTGTCGCCTCCCTGGGTCTGCAGTCACCCCGTGGTCCCCAGAGCCCCCGGCCTGCATCCTCACACACCGCGGAAGGCCTCCATGGCACCTGAGCACGAAGCTTTGGACCGGAGGGAAGGGACGAGGGGGATATACCGAATTTATTGAATTCACAGTGTTTTACTTCTGCTTTGCTCGGATGGGGAGGGCACTGCGCACCCTCGGGGCGCCCCCCTTCTGGAAGCGCAGGAGTTGGGGGGCAGCCCCCACATCGCTCAGCCTCGCTGCCCCACAGAGCGGCCCTCCTGGCCCCGCGGCCAGCGACGCCCTCCCTGCCCGGCGCCGCGGCCCTGCCCGCCCGGGGGCGGGCACGGCGGCGGCGCGCGCGCGCATGCGCGCAGGGGGGCGTGCCCGCGGGCCGCGCTCCCCCCTCCCCGCGCCGCCGCCGCCGCCCGCCCCTCGCCGTGTGTCGGTTTCGGGCGCCCGTCGCCATTTAGCGCGGGGACGTTGCCGGGGCGGCCGCGGCTGCTCGCGCTTCCCGCCCGCCCTCCCGCCGCGCCGCGCGGCGCGGCGCCTCCTCTGCTCTCGTCTCACCTGTGGCGGCGGCGGCGGGGGGCGGCCCTCCCTCCCTCCCTCCCGGTGAGGAGCGGGGGCGGCGGCCGGAGGAGGCGGAGGACGCGGAGGTTTCCGGCTGCGCGCGAGGCGGCGGCGGCAGCAGCGGCAGGAGAGAGGGAGCGCGGCGCGGCCTGGCGCCGACCTCGGAGGCCGCGGCCGCCATGGGCGCCGCCGCGAGGCGGGGCTGAGCCCCGCGCGCCGCTCCCGTGCGCGGCCCG